CAAGTTTTCTGTATTATTCTAACTGATTTTACATATTCGCTACAAAGAAAGAGGAAGTGATGTAACTGTCAGGGCCTTTTATGTATCATCTGACTTTTTTCTGATTGGTTGTTTTTGTTTCTGTGCTGCTGGAGATTTTCAGTAAAGAGAGTTATGCAAATACTCACCTCCTGTCATTACTAAAATTAAGATTATTAGTACACTAAAGCTAGCATAATCGTCAATTCTCCTGTATAACTCCTCCTATTGGTTTTTATCACTCCCATTGCACAACTCCTCCTGTTATTCTATATTGCTCTCTCTGTATAACTACTCCTATTGCTACTTATCACTCCCGCTGCATAACTCCTCCTGTTATTTTACATCACCCCCTCTGTATAATTCCTGATGTTATCTTATATCACCCACTTCATATAACTCTTCTTAGAGCTTCATATTAGCTTCCTCTATAGAACTCTCCCTGTTGCCATATTTGGTAGAGACACCTTGCTTCTGACAACATGAAACCATATAACAAAATCTAAACAAGTAACAGTGTATTTTCTCAGCACACCAAAGATGGACATTTTCAGCCAATTGCCTACCTGATCCACATTGAGATGTTTCATCCTCTCGGCTGGGTTGGCCATATCAGAAATATATGGGTAGGCACGCTAAATGTCTGATAGTAGGACTGGCCTGAAAGCCATGCAAAAAATCGCAGTAGCAAAGCTTTAACAATTTAATGTTCCAAACACATTTTTTCAGTAGCCACGGTTACTGGAAAATGCCTTCCTCAATTTAGCAAATGAATCTAGAGTTTAGAAAAAAAATATATGATTTTTTTTCCTAGAAGAGCAAAAACATTTTGATAAATGACCCTTTTAAGAAATGCTGACCCTTCTTCAAATGGGTACCCAATGCACTAGATGACAGGCAGGGGGAGGGATATATTTTAAGCAAAGTGTTGTTCTCTTGTAGTACTGAAGAGGTGGGGGGGATACATTTCCAAGTGGCTGAAAAATATTTTCTGATAAAAGATCTTTGTTAAAATAAGATGTTTAAGAGATTTACCATTTACCATATGATTTACTCTATCATTTATATGCAACTATGAGAATCAATATTTAAATGTAACTGAAAATTATATTTTCCAAAATCTCAGTATTAAACGGAGCAGTCTTTTTTCCTACTTCATCTATGAATTTTCTATAAATAATTTCTAGAATAGGGTATATTTACTAAATGGAAAAAATGTCAGTCTATTCACTAAAGAGCCAGTTATGTTGAGAACTGACTTGCAAAATTAATGCTAAAATAGCCAAGTTGGAAAAAAAAACACTACTTATTTTTACCTCATTTATTCTGACTTACATTTTTGAAAACCAAATCCTGTAAAACTCACGATTTACAGTACAGACTCACAAAAAAAATTTTTTTTATACACTCTCCATTTTTTTTTTTTTGTAATTCTTTATTTTTGGTTGTGCATGAGTATACAGTGCACCCCGCAATGCCACAACAGCAATTGCAGGTATACGATAAATAAACAATGTAACAGTAAGCATTACATCAGGTGCAACCAGAGATACCCCTACATTACAGTTTGAGTGAATAGCACGGTATAGCTAAACTGCGCTTTTTCAATTGTATAAGTAATTTTTTAAAAATGCAAAAAAAGGAAAAGGAAAAGTAGTCAGTGGAGAGACAAAGCGACAAAAGATAAGAGTTACACTGACTGACTATATGCAGGGTGTAAACTGATGAGTACAGTTTAGTACATGCTGTGCCATTTTGTGAGATCCTCTATGCATAACTGGGAAGCATGTTAAGTTAGTTTAATGGTTCACGTTCCCCCAGACTGGGATACACTCTCCATTTTGTATACAATTTATGGAGAGCAAAAAATGGGTCGCAAGAGTATTCTGAGATTTGTATAAAATTTAGCAACTTTGGCTGTATGCTTTCAAAAAATCACTGCTTAGTAAATAAAGACTTGGGACTTTATTTTTTTTTAATTGGGAACACAAGGTAATGCCAAATTATAGACCAAAGTAAAAACAAACTGATAACATTCTAATTCCAGCTATTCTTTCAGATTGAATGTGTTGGCTCACAATGTTCAGTTCTCTATCATTCCTGATTAGTATAGTAGTATCTTTATGAAATGAACTAAGGAACCATTATATAAAAAAAAAAATGTAATGGAAAGCAGCTTGTTATATCAAGCCAGTTTTGCAACATTGTGCGATGCAGCCATGTCTGTACTAAAGCACCACCAACTGTAGTTCCTGGCTGTCTTAACCCTGTGGGATTTATAATACGACAGAAATCTCCTCTAGATTCACCCTAAACCTGCTGAGTGATTTACTGTAAAACTGTAATTATTTAAAGATTAGTACAAAATAATGTAACATTTAAAAGGAAAAGTATCAGCATACGTACTGCAAGTGAAAATAGAGATTTAGTAATAACGTTTCCTGTACCTTGTTAATAAAATGTCGGCTTCCCCATGGCAGGGATGAGATATGAGCATGCAGGGGCACGTTCCATTGAGGTATGTACCCAAAATGTCTATCAGCAGGGAAAGGAGTGAAGGGAAAGAGAAAGTGCTCTCCCCTCCTTCTCCCCAGCAGGTGGATCAATGCCCTGCTACAGACATGTTAAACACACACAAAATCAATGGTGTTTATGTGTCCAGGGAGGGGCAGCTAAGGAGGAATTGATCTGACGGGGACCTAATCACTTTCTCAATAATCCTGACCTCACGACCTCAGGATTAACCTATTGATAGGTTGCTGTCTGGGTTGGTGACAAGGGAAAGAGGCACTGAGCTCGTACTGAACTTGGACGTGGCTGCTGGTGGCAGTGAGCGTGGAGTTGTACTTGGGAGAGGGATTACTCATCGATCAGCTGTCCTTTTCTACACGTAAAGCCTTCAAAGGAGCACAGATAGGCCTTTCTTTAAAACCTGGTGCCCGGCTTAAAATAGCATTTTACAAATTGTTCTTTTTCTGCGAGCCATTGTAACATGCTAGGGCCTGTACCGAAGACAATGTTCTTTTATGCCAAGCAGAAGGTTTTGCCCACCAACTGCACAGGGGCAAGAAAGCTCATCATGGAGGGATAAGCATACGGCTCTCACAACACCTTTTCTTATTCTTATGCAATAACTTTTAGCCCCCAATATGTTATCCATTGAAACCTCAATCAATATCTCATGGAGAGTTGTCAAAATGTTGAATGGGGGCCAGAAATTAATGTGGGATTTAGTGGAGTCCAAATACATTCCTTGGGTATTCTGTTTTTCAGAGACTCTAGACGAATTCTCCTATAAATGCATGAGCAAGTACCCACATGCAACATGTGTGGCTTTGGTATAGCTCCATGCTTGCAGTCTTTAATTGTTAAAAAAAATAGTCTTTAATTGTTAAAAACAAGTAGTTTTCACTAGTACAGAGCAAATGGGTGCTGGGCTGTCAGTAAAGAAAATGGGATGAGGTTCCATTCCTGCTCTTACCATCAAGGTAAGAAAATGGAGGCTGATGGGAGCTCATTGTGAAGACCGTACTCCTTCTCCCCCTCCCCCCAAATAAATAAATAAAACAAAAATGACGTGTGTGAGTGTATATGAATATAATAATGGGTGTGTGTGAATATGTTTGTGAAGTATGTGTGTGTTTGTGTATGTGTGTATTTGTGTATGTGTTTTTGTGTATGCATATCAGTGTATGTTTCTGTGTAAGTGTGTGTATATGAATTTATGTCTGTATATTAATTTTAAGTATGTGTCAATATAAATGTGTAGGTATAGTAATGTATAAAGTATATTGTAATTAATTTCTCTAACAAAACAGGGTTGTGGTATGCATAATGAGACACAAAAATAGAAATTCTACAGGTTGGGAAGGGGGCAAAATATATGTTCACCCAAGGTGTCATGTAATCTAGGTAACACCTCAGACTAGATGTATGTTTTATACATGTTATACACCTCTAATACGGTTGTATTAGAGGTGTAATGTGCAATTTGTATGACATTAATGAAGATATGAAAATGAAGTGTGCCTTGCACTCTTTTTCTCTCATTAAAGAAAACTGTACTACAAGGGTTAGCCATTACCTGGCTGTCTATGAATGTTGGACTGACCCCTGAGAACATCTTTACAAATCTGCCTTGTATGCCACATATAATGGACATTCACATGCAAACATTACACTATTCAATGTAATGTGCGCAGCAGTGTGGCTTATAGTGTATATTGTATTGCACGTCAAGTCAAAAATATAGAAAATGCTAAATATCTATACCACCTCCGGGCATTGAAAAGGTAACACAAATGTGAAGCTAACATTTATTAGTGATAAAATTAAAATATATATTAAACCCTAAAAAAAAAAGAACAAAAGTGCGCTGTGCCTTTAAGTGCTAATATAACAATATGAACAATATGTAAATCAATAATGGTCCAACTGTAGTGAATAAAGTGCAAATACAGTATATGTATATTATTAAAGTGCAAATAAATATAATCCAGTGGTAAATACCCTGTGAATATGTGCTCTTTGTGAAATACAAACAACAAAGAACTTACTCCTTTAGATTTAGACTCTGTTGACACTTGAAGGAGTATCTCTTTAAAACGCTCCACATAAAAACATAAGATAGAGGGACAAAAGAACACAATATAGTGTAACTCTGTATCACAAATGTAACCAGGAAATAATAAAAGAATATCACTCACAATGGTAGAGCAGAATAAAGTCTGCTCTAACTATAAAAGCGTGCAAATCCTCTCATCAGGATTCTGTAGGATAGTAGATAAATGTGCTTAAAACAAGCAGGACGGCACCAAATAAAAATAAGACTTTATTGGTATAAAATTTCACAGTGAGTCATCACCCTTCTCCCTGGAAAGCCAAGCTGGTACGGATCCCCTTCTGACTCGTGGCATGCACTTGCGGTCTTTCAGTGGATAGATGCTTCCGGGAGTAGGAGGTGCTGCTGACACGTAATGACGTTGTACGTCCAAAAAACGTGATGACGCGTTTCGCCTTGGCGGCTTCCTCAAATCACCAGGAAGCCGCCAAGGCGAAACGCGTCATCACGTTTTTTGGACGTACAACGTCATTACGTGTCAGCAGCACCTCCTACTCCCGGAAGCATCTATCCACTGAAAGACCGCAAGTGCATGCCGCGAGTCAGAAGGGGATTCGTACCAGCTTGGCTTTCCAGGGAGAAGGGTGATGACTCACTGTGAAATTTTATACCAATAAAGTCTTATTTTTATTTGGTGCCGTCCTGCTTGTTTTAAGCACATTTATCTACTATCCTACAGAATCCTGATGAGAGGATTTGAACGCTTTTATAGTTAGAGCAGACTTTATTCTGCTCTACCATTGTGAGTGATATTCTTTTATTATTTCCTGGTTACATTTGTGATACAGAGTTACACTATATTGTGTTCTTTTGTCCCTCTATCTTATGTTTTTATGTGGAGCGTTTTAAAGAGATACTCCTTCAAGTGTCAACAGAGTCTAAATCTAAAGGAGTAAGTTCTTTGTTGTTTGTATTTCACAAAGAGCACATATTCACAGGGTATTTACCACTGGATTATATTTATTTGCACTTTAATAATATATATATACTGTATTTGCACTTTATTCACTACAGTTGGACCATTATTGATTTACATATTGTTCATATTGTTATATTAGCACTTAAAGGCACAGCGCACTTTTGTTCTTTTTTTGTATTCTATTTGAGTGGTTTTAGAGCTATTTCACTTTTATTAGTGCTTGCTAGCCTTTGTGAGTGTTATTATTTTTTTATTGATTTTATAGCGCCATTTTTACTTGATAGTTTTATATATTAAACCCTGCTTGATTTTAAGAAATAACATTTCATATGCTTGAGTAGATATGAACATATACATGCAATTACTAGAGTGAAAATACAAACTGAATTCAAGGTAAACTCACATTTAAGGCTATAGTAGCCAAACTGAAAGCATAAGTGACTTAGGGAATTTTTCTAGCTCAACTGAGTTATCTTCATCACTAATCAACTCTCAGTCTCACTTTACCAGTACAAGAATTTAGCATGGCAATAATATGAAGGTAAGGTGGGGGTGATGACAACATCAAAATGTGTAAAGATGGATGGACAGAGAAAGATAGATAGATGGACGTACAGATTGACAGACAGATATCCCTGCTTGGGCCAACATTCTTTGCATGGAGGAAAAGAAACCCAATCACTCCCTTCCAGAGGTAACCAGTTTTAAATGCTATCAAAATTCAGAAAAAAATTAAGAATCTCACACTGAGGTAGCAGTAAGAAACGTGAGTGCTGGACAGCTGCCTCACCGTGTGCCATTGAGGGCTTGCTGATAATGTCTGCACACAAAACTAACCTCACCATCATTGAGGTGGTGCTCTATATGAACAACATGTAGCTACACAGATTACTGTATGACATCACTCTTATTTTATTATTTATTTATTACTGGAATTTAAGCACCAATATATTCCGCAGCGGGGAAAAAAACAGTACAATATACACAAATATAGAAGGTAAAGAGAGCTCTGCCTGTGAGCTGAAATCTATCCACTGAAGCTGTTTTATTAGGGATCGACCAATTATCGCTATGGGACGAGGGAAGAACACTATGGGACAGGGTAGGGGGAGGAGGAAAGAGTGCTATGGGACAAAGGAGGAGGGGATAGAAAGAACACTATGGGATGGGGGGCAGGAAAGAACATTATGGGACAGGGGAGGGGGGAACACTATAGTTTAGGGGGGAAAGAACACTATGGGGGGGGGAAGAACACTATGGGGGAGGGGGGAGAAAACTATGGGACAGGGGAGGGGTGAAAAGAACACTAGGGGGGAGAGAGAGAGGAACATTAAGGGAGGGCACTAAGGTACAAGGAAGGGAAAAGGAGCACTGGGGTGGGGGCACTAAAAGATAAGGGAGAGGAACATTACGGGGAATGGGGGGAGGAGGGGAGTACCTACTGCACATATTTACACACAAACACACTGCATCCACTACCCACACTGCATCCACTAAACAAACAAACAGATTGCATCTACTACACAAACACACACTGCATTTAATAATCAAATACTCTCACTGCATCCACTACACACATATAAATATTCTTGAAAACATAAAAAAAATCTGACGGGCATGTATATTTTGTGCATTTACCACTTAATTTAAAAAAAAAAATCTCAAAACGGTAAATGTACAGAATATCAGTAAGCTATTGGCTATCGGCCTGAAAGTTCAGAGATTATCGGTAACGGCTCTAAAAAACTTTTTATTGTAAACACTGCCTTTTCACAGAATAGGCAGTATTTACATTGCTCTCCAGGAATACCTCCAGAGGCCACTCCTCAGATGGCCATTAGTGGTGTTTCCACAGTGTGCAGCACTGACGTTTAACGTCTCCACCATCTGCATGGAGACACTGAACTTACCCCATAAAGGTACATTGATTCAATGCATCTCTATGAGGAGGTGCTTACCTGCCATGGTGGCGTTTGGATGCCTATAGTATTGCAGAATTTTAATACTTGATTATACACTGCAACACCTAAATGGACTTTAACTCATTATTTCAGCTTATGAAAGGCTGGCTGAAAGTAATGAGAGTCACACCATCTCCAGTATCCAGGAGGGTTAAGTAGTTTGATGCTTTAGGTAACCCTACAATCCCACTTATGCTGGGAGCGTATGCCAAGCATCTACTTCTCTTATAGCAGTCACTTGGCAATAGTGTATACAGGGAAGATCATTACGCATTGATACCTCCAGAACTAACATTTTATTTAATATAAATAATTAAACATGCTTCAAAACTAACATCAGCATTCACTTGCATGATGTAACTTTTTCATGTATTAAATGTTGTTGCCTTGAAATGAATAAGTCAGCAATGCTTACATTCAGAATTCACCCAATCTAAGTAATATCTATACAAATCATCAAGATTTCTAATGTACACACCTACCAGGGCATACTGTATGTGCTATAGTGTGTCAATATAAAGATACTCTCCACTGGTTTCAGTCTGGTGCCACCTGCAGGCGATGAATGGTTTTGCTCTTGTCACTTCTTTGCAGACAAAGGGACAGCAGCACTATGGCCTTTGTCCTCTGCCTCCCCTTCCCCCTACAGTCCCGAGGGCCAAAGAGTTTCTGACCCACCCCCCTTCATATCATTAAGATGGAGTAGTAAGACAGAGGAAGAGTGAAAAATAGAGGAACAGAGTGGAATGATTTAGAAACAATGTTCAGACAGTGGGATGTTGCACAAGAGAAACAGAGAGGGCAGGGAGAAAGAATGTAACACAAAACATTAAAATGGATAAAAATAACCTGACATGCAGGCCAGACATCCAAACAGACTTAACGTTGGTTAGTTAAAGTGACAGACTGGGCAGCAATTTATGATTTTTATGGCATTAATTTAACAGCTACAAACAAACCCATTGCTAAGTAATTAAAATACACCCCCCCCCCACCCCCCATGGGGTAGCTCATTATGTTGTTTATAATGGAAGGGGGAAAAAAACTACATAATATAAAAGTAAAATAAACAAATGTAACATTGCTAAACATTACATTGTTTTTTCTTCCAAATTGTCACTAAATAGTTATAGGGTTATTTACTAAAGAGAGAATTCAAAATTAGCTCAAAGTGAATTTCAAGTTTAACACCCTAGTAGCCAAACTGAAATCATCACTCTAAAAAAATGAAATTAAACTTGAGTTTACTTTGAATTCTCACTTTAGTGAATAATTCTATTAAACTGAAATTAACAGCTATACATGCAGAACTTTTGTAGAACCAGACATGCAAACCATATATAATTTGTCACAGTCTCTCTAAAACAGATGACATCGGCTAAACTGTCTGAAATGTCAGATTATTTCTCATACTTGAAATAAGCCACAGAGATATTATCTACCATGGGTCCACTACTCCTAGATTACAGACCAAATGAAGCAATGTTTCCAGAAAAAAAAACATTGAATGCAACTTCTCTCCAATCAAAGTGACCATATGGAGGGAATATGTGATAAAAGACAGACCCCTGAGAAGCTGCTGTCATTGGTCCAATATGTTCCTTACATAAACTAAGCAGCTCAGTAATAAAAGGTTTTGGGAGTCCTATTATCCCCAATATTACAGATGAAAATATGACTACTCCCATTCTTCCCATCAATCAATTTGGATTTTAGGATGCAAGGTGGCTATCAGTGCAAACATTGGTCCCTCCAGTAAAGCGGGATGGACTTATGAGCAGCCTTGTCCAATGGAAACACAATATCTGATTTTTTGAAAGAGAATATTAATTATATTATGGATGGCCAGTGTATACCCAATACAATGGCACAAAATATTGTACATTCTTTATAATGATTACATAAGTGGTCCCCTATGCCCCGTGGTCCATGGTGTTTACCTTACATTTAAGGACAAAGAAATGCCCAAACCTTACTCCAATTCATTGTCCCTTAACCTAACTAGAATTCCTACCTTAGCAATATTTTCTAGGACCACTATTAGTACTATATGCTGTTGGGAATAACATGAATAATGGTCCCCGTTAGTAAGTTCAAAAAGCTGCTATAGGGAGTCAGTTAATTGATCAAAGATAGATCAAACAAGCTCAGTTTAAGCTCATGAGTAATATACAATAAATATGCCAAATATGACCATTTACAAACACACTGCTAATAAAATTTGGGTTGTACTGCTAATACATCCCAAATGCTCCATACAGACAACATGAATTTACTTTAACAGCAATTTAAATATTGCCTTCAATAGATCCATACTTTCATGTAAGCGTGAATATTTTTACACTCCTAATAGCTACTAAAGTGAATATGCGCTGAAGTACCGATGAGCCTGTTGCATGAATATAAGCTACATATACCCAAATATTTTTACATCTTTTGCTGTATTTATGTGTACATGACATATACACGGGGCACTATACAGAAGTAATACAAAAATTTGTGAATGTTACATATAGCAATAATAAAGTTAGCCCCCTGTGCACACCCACACACTGGTCCTAAGGCTAAATATGGTAAAGTGCAGGC